TAAATATGCTAGACAGCATGGCCAGACCCATCTGCATGTGTAAGTTTTCAGGCTAATTGTCGGCTTTATTTATTTATTTTTTGCGCGCGGTGTTAACTGGTTTGACTCAGCATCGTCGGCAAAGGCAATCACTCTGCCAACCACGTTCAGAAGATTAAACCTCGTGTCGAGCAAGTCTGTCGCGAACTCGGTCTCCAGTATGCGACGGAAGAGAATGCGGGACGTATTTATGTCAATCTCACCGGTGGGCCGGCCGATATGCCTGAAGCTCCGGCACACTCTGGTTATGGCCAGTCGCATGGTCAGTATCCCGGTCAGCAGCATCACCAGCAGCCACAAGAGCAACACCAGCAGCAACAGCAACAGCAGGACCCTGTCGAGCAGATGGTCAACGCGATTCTCCCACGTGTGTTGCGCAAGCTGGAGAAAGCTTGCTGTGTGGTTATGTAAATATTATGGGATTGGTCAACACTTATGTTCACGGTCACAATGCGACGAAGGATCAGGCAACCTTCGATATAATTTTACGGATATATAATCGTTGCAGGGGACAAAAACACCTGGCTTACGACTGGGATATTTACATGAGAGCTTTGATTAATATACCCAGAGTGTTTAGATTCTCGCTTTACCAACCAAGTTTATCAAATCTTATTTGTACCATTTGTCTTCATCAAATTTGACTATGCTAAATAGTGACATAAACTGATCGGGCAGACACAGCCGAACTTATTCGCATATTCATCTTCGTCATCGATGCGTTATCCATTTTTTCCAAGCGCGCAAAATATACCCAGCTTAACGCGCTATTGAAACATGGACGAGAACCGGGGGGGGGGAAACAAAAACCACAATAAAACCAGATCATACATCTGCCTTTCGAGCGTCTTTAAGAGTTGACTCGGTTATCTTATCAAGAATGGCACGCATCGTCACTCTATTGTCGTTGCCTTCAGGTTCCTTGCTATCTTCACTTGCCTCTATCTCGGCAATAAGTGTCAAGGCTTTATCGCGTAAATCCCGGACAACATCCTGAGTGTGCGCAAAACTGCCAGTGCTCTCCATGTATTTGACTGCGTACAGTTTGACCTCCTCGTCCTTAGTTTTCTGCTTCAGGATGTTGATGAGCTGGTGATTACTCGGGTCGGATCGAATGCTGTGAATGATGGGAAACGAAAATTTTCCCTCCGTGAGGTCCTCGCAGAGACCTTTGTTCTTAGTGTAGGTTGTATTGGATAGGTTGAGGTAATCATCACAGATTTGGAAGATCAGCCCCAGGACATTAACCAGGCTCACGCAGTCCTTCCCCGTGGTGCTCTCGGCCTGCATTAACTTTATAGCTAATCGGAACAACCCACCGGTCTTGTTTCCAACCATCTCGAGGTATTCCTCTTCGCTAGGGCAGGTGAGGGTATCTCGCCAGAACAGGTCCATCCCTTGACCACGATGGAGGTTCAGTAACTCTTGCACATAAATATCAATTGCAGCAGGATTGTTCAGCTTTTGCACCTCCTGGAGGGCCAAGAAGTAAACGTAATTCGCCGAATTGATGGTTTGAGCTGTTCCGTAGATATTATGAGCCACAGGAACTCCGCGACGAAGAATGGAACAATCTTCGACATCATCGATCCTGCAAAGAGAGAACCACAGTTAGAGCGGGTCCAGTCGGGGCGAGTGTTATGAAGATACACCTACAATAGTGATGCAGTGTGAAGCATAGCTACCACCTTGGTGATGATAGCCAAACTCTCCGAGGGGACTTTCAACCATTCATTGAATGCATTGATAAGCTGCCGCCGTATATCCTTGCCAGGATGCTGCAGCATATAATCATAGGGACCCAGCACAATCACCTCATTCTCCTGCGACCACTGGCCATCTTTATATTTTGTGCCATCTAGGCTGGACCGGTTACGAGTGTGTTTGCGCCGGATGTTGGTGTTCGTCTGTAGTTGATCGCCATTTGATTCAGGAATGGCGGCGAGGCTGGATTGTCCTGTTACGGATGAGTTTGTACTAGCTCCGTCTGTGGCACCCGCAGAGCTAGTTCGAGGGGGAATAGCAGTGGGGGGCTGAATGGAAGAAGTTTCCGACGACATGGTTCCTCGATTTGCTTCCCCATCAAGTTTGGATTTGGTGATATCCTGAGGAATGAACAGATGGCACATAAGCCAGTTATTTAAACTGACCTGGCGAACTGCCAAAAGCCCCGTGATAGAGACAGACTCTTTGTCCTGTGCCGCACAATATGATATGGGTGAATGCAAGAAACCTTTGTTGTATGCGGGGACAGCCCAATAAGGCGGCCTGGACAATGTGACGTCGATTCATGTGATTCGTATTGTGCCCAGGATCGTCTCGGTCACATGACATGGGGCGTGATCCAGGCACCTTGACTTGACCCTCACTCCAACAAACTTTCCGTTTGAGTTACCAGGGACATGCTTTCAAAGATGCCATTTCCATGGATCATGCTCCCCAGACTGCAAGGAAGGTTGCCCTTCACAAGGGATAGTCGACTGGACAACCCAATGACCAGGGGAATGAGAATTCTAACAATGATCGGCCAAGTCCGAGCAAGGTCTACTAGTACTTCCTACTACTAACAATGGAAGAGCGCCTCAAGTTCCAAGGCACGACAAAACACGACATCATCAGGACGCTTTGATGGTTGATCCTGCGAGGATGAGCTGGCGAGATGGCGCAGCTGAACTTGTCATCATCACAGTGACAGCTCAGCGCCTAACGGTCCAATGGCCACCGAAACGCTGGAGGGAGTAGCGTCCCAATTGGACATGGCCGACCGTCTCCCGGGGCAACCATCGGGCGTGTTTGCCTGCCTGTGGGGTTCCCTCTCACTAAATCTGACTAGTGAGGATCTCGGCACGATCAGAAGGTGGTGTTGTCGAACTAATTTATCCCTCGACCAAGCTATTTATCACCAATAATTGAATTAAATTAAGGTACCTGGCGTCTGGACTAGCCGGATCTTGTTCTATTTTTTCCTGTCCTACTTTCATATAGATAAGCCTCGGTGTCGCATCTGGTCGCCGAAAGCGTCGCCGAGTTAAAAAAGACATTGTTTCCGGGTTTGTCTTGCTTCGCGTCTTTTCTTCGTCAGCAGCCATCCATTGAATTTTTCAGTCGCGTTACGTACTCATGGAGACTTTGTTGGCGCATTCGTTCGACTACCTTTCTTCGTACGAACCAAGCAAAGTTCGCAAAGGGTTACGCCAGGTTGAGGGCCTTCTCGCGCAAATCTGTTTATCGAAGTCGAAACAGCCGGTGTCTGATAAACGGAGGTCATTACTATCCTTTGGAGCTCCACAACCAGTTCCCAAGGCTCTGTCCGAACTAAAAGATGACCCCGCATTTAGAGAGTTCTTCAAGCTTCAAGAAGGGTTCCAATGGAATGGTACGCGCCGTCTGGTCCGATTCCATATATTACCGGATATCCGATAGACTGACAAGCTTCTCCCAGTCGCAATGCGCTTGGTAACTTGCCTTGAGCACCTCCTTGGTCGGGGAAGCAATGGCACAAACGACCTTCTCATACTATCAACACTCGACTTAATTCAAGGCGCGCTTCTTCTCCACCCGCCATCGCGAACGCTCTTCGCGCGCGAGATTTACATGAATATACTGTTGGATCTTCTGGACCCGATCAACTGCCCCGCAATTCAGTCGGCTACCCTCCTCACTCTTGTAACGGCTCTTTTGGATCATCCTGCCAACACGCGTACATTTGAAGAGCTCGACGGGCTGCTCACCGTGACATCTCTCTTCAAGCAGCGCGCAACGTCTCGCGAAGTTAAACTCAAACTCGTTGAGTTCCTCTACTTCTACCTAATGCCAGAAACACCGATGATCCCTGTAGGAGCAGGCGCCAGTGCGGCGAACGCAGCGGCTGTCGGATTGCAGCGCAGTCCAACCAAGTTAGGGGGGCCAAGGCCAAGGAGTGCCAATGGCCCAGGAGCTCACCATGGAGGCAGGGGAAATCGAGATACACGCACGACGGATGAGAAGCAAGCGCTACTCGGAAGGTATCTCAACAATGTGGAAGATCTCGTTGAAGATCTAAAAGAAACGGCGCCTTTTGGGGCAACAGTTTACTAGCATGGGCCGCGGCCTGAACTTCCTTTTTCCTTTTCTTTCTTTCCTTTTTTTTCATTTCTTTTCTTCTTCTTTCCTTTTCATTGAGCAATGGAGCGTGCATGGAATGGTATTGTTGGCTGGTCTCTCTGTGTTTTGCATAATTCCTCGCGCTGAATTATCCTTTCCTTCTTTTCTCCTTTCGCCCTCTTCCCTTCTCTCCTTCCATTCGATCTCCATCCCTTTTCCTGTCTTTATGACCCTCTCTCTGATTTACCATTCTCGCCCCGTCTGGCACGGCGCCTGGCTCGAGAATGCGGATGAATTCTCTTTTCCCTGCCTTTTCCGTCATATCAACCTTTCCTTTCTTTTTTCTCTACGACTTACGGGTCATTTTGATGCATCATGTATCATGTTTCTGGGCGGACTTTAAGAGCAATGACTACTTTTGAATGATCATATCAAGCCGAAAATCATATATCACCATAATCACTCCAAATCCATGCCATACAAAGCGTAGCGTTGAAAAACTCGGGTCTGATACAGTTTGGGAGATCAAAGCGGCGGTGATGATTCAGATCGTAGTGATGATCTTCGAATAAATTATATAAAAATTTGCGACAACCTCGGTACCAACTAATGTGACTCATCTTCTCGTATAATAGCAACCATCATTACGCATAGAATTATCAATAAAACAAGTATATATATCATTTAAAAGTCTATAATTACCCAGACACCTTCGCTCGATAATCCTGCATCTGTTGTTCTTGTGCAATTGCGACTTCCTTCATTGAGAAACATTCCCGCGGGATTGCCACCCGCCGATATATAAAAAAAAGAGAAGCAAAAGCAAGGAAAGAGGTTTATCTACTCAAAACATTTTTCCGGTCCCGCAAACTGCCACAATGGCTCGCACTATACAAGAGACCCTCGCCTCGGGGTCCCCTAGCGATGCAGCAAGCCCCCAGAAGCCAGTAGAGTATGTGGAAACCGTCGAGGCATACAACAGATGGGCGGAGGTAAGCAAGCCTACGACGTATAATACGTCCTTCCGAAGGAAAAGCGAAATCAGAAATATTGAAAACAAATCTAACCAGAAATACAGGTCTATGACACAGACGGCAACTTCCTACAGGCCCTCGACACCATTGAAATGCAACAACTACTACCGCAACTCTTGAAGAAAGTAACCGCCAGCACACAGGCCGGCCCGGCAAAACTAGTCGACTTGGGCTGTGGCACAGGTCGGAATACTCGCCAGCTACTGAAATTCGCGCCCGAAGATGCTCATATCGTCGGGCTGGATGCTTCGCCGGGAATGCTGGACGTTGCTCGGACTACGGTCGACAAGGAGAAAAAATCGGATCCTTCTCTTGCTAATAGGGTTTCATTGGAGATTTATGATCTGCTTCGGTCGCCTCCGGCACCGCCGGCGTGTAGCTCGGCGCGGCTGGTGTGATTTCCACCCTGGTTTTGGAGCATATCCCTGTGGATCAATTCTTTGAGGGCGCCGCGGCGGTGATGAGACCTGGGGGGTATTTTCTTTTGACCAATATGCATTCGGAGATGGGGTCGATTAGCCAGGCGGGGTTTGTGGATACAGCGACTGGGACGAAGATTCGACCGACTAGTTATTCTCACACGATTGAGGAGGTGTTAGATGCCGCTCAGAAGGCGGGATTCGAGGTTGAAGAGTTGGGCGGGGAGCGTGTCCGCGAGAGAAAGGTGAATGAGATGATGGCAAAAGACTTGGGTACAAGAGCGAATAAATGGATTGGTGTCACGGTGTGGTTTGGAATTTGCTTTAGAAAGCGGTCGTGATGAAGCGCTACTGGTTCTGAGGCTTGATCCTGTTCTTGCTGTGAGGAGTGAAAGACAAGTGGGCTAGAAGTATTATACAGGAATAATTCGTTTGGATGTCCAATGTCTAAAAGTATTTTAGCAACCTTTCCCTATGCTGCACAAGATTTTCATGCTTTTGCAGCAGCTCTGCCAGCCTATTCCGCTTCCATCCCATTCCCTTATCTAAAATCAAGTGCGTATAAGCGAAGACGCTGGCGTCGAACAAGCCCGGACTAGACCGTTCAAAGAAGTGTTCATTGCTGCCTAGGAGCGTAGAGAGAGCCTCAAACGCATCATCTGCCTCTGCCTCCAGTGCGCTGACATCAATATATTGCGAAGTCTTCAGAAGCTCATCTCTTGCGGCCTGTTGAAGCTGGACGGCTAAAGTAGCGCGTACCAGCGAATTTCTAGTCGAGGGATCCACGTAGAGCCTGCGGGCTACGGCACTGAAATTCTCATTGTCTAGATATAAGGTATACAACTGTGTACGTGTGAGCGTCATTATAGACCACTGTCGGGCTGTTTGTATATCAACGTACCCAAGCATTCCGTATCCGATGATCCAGTAACGATGCATATACCTCGAACCGCAAGTTCAATTGCTGTTCTTCTTCGCAGTGGACTTGTTCAATGGCCCACTTTTGTAGTTTGCTGGAAGGTATCGGGGCGTTGCTGTTGACTGGAAGGGCCGGGAGGAGGAAGGGAAGAGCACCGGTCGGTGATGCATGATTGTTTGAAGGAACAATATCAAAATCGATACCGACAAATCTTAAGTATGCCTGTGCGCACAGAGTCATTCAGGTCAGAGGCGATCAGACACGGCATGCGCAGTCCGTTATTCCTACGTACCTGCCATTTGAGACACTGCGGATTGAATGAGGGTTTGTGACTTTTCGCACCCGCTGCATCTGTAAATACAAACAACCGATTTCCAGTCCGGTTCGAGGCACCACGTTGAGGAAGGTCATTGGGAGAATAAGTGACGAGGGGGAATTGATCGAAGATGCGCTTGATCGGAGCAGGAACGGCGAAATAATCCCTGGCGCGTGAAATGGTTCCATTGCCCGGCGCCTGGCCGGAGGTATCACGACCTTCTAGAGTCATTGAAAGGAGAGAATAAGGAAAGAGCTATTAAGAAAAAAGAAGATCTATAAAATGGTCACACGTTAAAGAATGGAAAGACCGAGGCAAGTGGAATAAGTCGACTGGGAGCAGCTCTGCGTACTTGCTTATTGCCGGATGATTTGAGGATAAACTCCGATTTACCGCGCTGCCAAGCTTCAGGCACCCTGGCACATATTGATGCCTCAGGCGGAGGGGCGCTGGCCTCGGAGCCGCGCTTAGACTCGTTTCAGGTTGGATTTTGCATGTTCCTCCGATGCCACCGAACAGCCCCCGCATCTTCAAAGCAGACCCTGGCGGGGTTGTCTAGCCACTGTTTACTAATTATTTTTGGGTCTCCCATTTTTGGATCTTCCTTTAGTCTTCATCCTTTCTTTCTGCGTCATCCTTTATCTGTTGGCGTCGCTCTCGTATATTTTCTTGTTCTCATCGAACCGCCACCGCCCCGTCGAATGCGACCTTTATCGATTTCTTTGTTCCGATTCTATGCACAATCCCTGTGTGGAAGGCTACTCAACTGAGGAAACTTAATCGTCTGTTTAATGAATGTCGAACTTGATCTGCACTGTGGCTTGCGATTACTGGTGGATCTGCGATAGCGCCGAGGTCGATACAGAACGGCACGAGACATAGTTCAACTGACCCCAAGCATATTCGAGCAGTACTGTCTTGAGTGCGCCAGTTTGAGACTTGACAGACACAATGCCCTTGGACGAAGAAGGCGCCAAGTGGTCATGGTAGGAATTCACTTATTGGTCGTCAGCACGAAGTTACTAACTGAATGCCTAGCGAACCATGTATTCGTGGCCATCGTTCCTCAAAATGCCAACATTTCGACAGATTGATGATGAAGGTGCCGAAGGCCGGACGTCCCCTTGCTAAATGTCCCCATCCGAAAGGGACATGTAGCTGCCAAAAGACTTATGCATTTATGATCCGCATCCCAAAAGGTGTGTCTCCCATTCCCCTACAAAACAAGCAGTTGCTAAATACCCTAAAGGCTCTACGTGTCTCTGTAGACCGGTATATCAAGTGCCTGTGGACTCGAATGAGTCCGCACCACCCACTCCGACTGCTCTTCCCCCTACAGCTTCACCCGCTCCTGGTAAAATCCAGAAGTCATCTAGAAGGCAAATCAAAACTGCCCCCGAGAGCATTGCGAAAGCCCTAGATTCTATACCAGACTTTGGGAAACAACATCACGAAAACGGCACTTCTAGCCATGTCTCCCCTTTTATGTCTCAAGATTCCGGGCTCGGAACCATGGGAAACAGTCTTCCTCAGAGTATCGGTGGTGCACCTAGCAATTTCATACCTCATCAGACCCTCAACAATGGCGACGACTCAAAACCGCCAGGTGGAAGCTGTTGTTCTCAAAAATCCCAACCACCAGTGCAAACCAAGCCTCAAGCTTCTTGTTGTAAGAAGCCTGAAAGTACCACTCAAAATGGCCACAGCACAGAACGTACAACCGAGGGATCGAGCGCCCCCTATACGCCTTCTTTGAATGCGACTTCCTTTACACCCATATCTACACCTCAGATTCCTTCGTGGCAGGATTTCAATGCAGCCGGACAAAACCACTACTACCAACCGTTTGTGTCGCACCAGCAACCGACTGGGCAACCCACATATGTGCCCGACTATTCGTTACATACATCACCCAAGGCTGTTGCCATGAGCTTCCCCCATCAAAGCATTACCAACACTGGTCTCACCCAATCTTTCGTTCCGCATGATCCTAATGATTCTGGCTATATGGCATCGACAACTCTCAACAGCGATCCAACCCACAATTGCAGCTGTGGTGATAATTGTCAATGCCTGGGCTGTGCTTCCCATCCATTCAACAATACAACAAGGCAGCATGTTCAAGAAATGGGCCTTTTGGTTGCCTTTGACGGCGAGAACAGGGGCGTGGAAAAGATGAACGGTTACCAGACTCCCTCTTTACACGGTAGACAACATAGCGCTACTCAACTGGATTATTCCTATCCGAACTTCAGCCATGCCTTCAATAATGGCGCACAGAATCTGATGATGCATTCCTATGGTGAACAGAACCCAACCTCACGCATACTTGGGAATGGATATTCGTCTCCACCAGCTGAATACCTCTCAGATCAACAGTTTATGGAACCTTCAGAGTATTACACTCTTGAATATCCAGTGGGCTTGCCATCTGGCTGCTCTGATGTGACGGGAAATTGTCAGTGTGGAAATGATTGTAGCTGCGTTGGCTGTCTCACGCACAGCGGACACAATGGTTTTTCGCTTGAACCTGTTACTACCGAGACCAGCATGTCTCCCATTGGCCCCGTGACGTCGTCGGACAACCCAGGCATCGGTGTGTCTGGGATACAGGCTTTGAACGAGATTAGCGTTCCATCGACATCCCCCATGCTGTGAAGCTTTCCCCATCTCAAATTACCCTTTGCCGCAGGTGTTTCTGCATTATTTATTCTTACGCCGCGTTTCGTCTTCGGCCGACCGTTTATCATGATACCCCAAAATAGATGCTGGACATTAGATTTCTTACGCTCCCAGTCTTCGTGTACAGTTATTTTCCTTTAATTTTCTGGGCTACGTAGTCAACGCATACATCAGTACATCCCCTCTCTTGTCATTACCCGATTCCTTCTTGCGACTGCCTTTATCGAATTCCCCAGAGAATACCCATGCGGTGGATCTCACATTTTTCACGATCTATAGTGTCGTCCGGACATGGAATAGCTTTGATATAACAATGCAGTTTCGGATATATTGGCCTCATCGCATCCTTACATAGCTCCCTCTAGCCTTTACATGTAGTCGTAATTGAAGGTACTTAGGCTACACCGGCGTATTCTGTGAAAGCTTTTGTGTTTATTTTATACGCCTGGCGATGCGAATTGAAGCCGCAAACTGAACAATGGCGGGATACAACAATGATGGATTGCATGCTAAACGGTAAACAGAGCCTAGGAATTCTTCTAAACAGCATGAATGAAGCCCCAATCTGACTTTATTCCCTCGGCTATACAGGTATCATACACAATCAAATGCTGAACCCTCTACCGACGCAGAGCGTCTCTAACGGGCGAGTCGCCACGACGGAACGAAGCTATCTCTCATGTTAGCCAAGGTCGATACCTCTATACAAGACAGTAGCAGGGGGCAGAAGCGTACAGTCGGCCTCCTCCCAAGCACGTCCAGCGCCAAAGCCCAGACCAACCCAAGCGGGCCAAGCCCTCCGCTTGAAGAGGAGCACTGAGAAAACAACACCGAAACCGAGACCGAGAGAGGAGCGAATGATCATGGAGGAGATAGCGCGATCCCACTATAGTTGTGCAAAGTCCGTATTAGCCCCAATTCTGCGCGATTGTATACTTCTTGCTCATTGGAACCTCCCGGAATAGCCGAGATGGTGGCCAAACAGGCCAGGGGTTGCCATTGATGCAAGAGTATGGCGAGAAAAGAGATATAGGAGATTCATTAGGCGACTAGTACCTTCTCATTGAGCAATGCCTCACTGACGGGCTTGGTGGCCCGGACGATCGGCTGAGATTCGTTGGAGTCGGCCATTGCGGTAGATCTGAAAAGCGAGGATTAGCCAGAGGTACACATTGATGCAATTGAAGCAGGACTGACTGTGACGAGGGACACTAAGGAGGGAGTCTAGGGTAATATTTGCGGAATAACCAAGCCAAGGAGGAGGTGATGAAATCGGGTGCGATGTTTGAGCTCTGTCGGGCAAAGGCGGTCGGAAAAACTAGGCTCGGCTTGGGCTGTCGTCACGGGCTTAGTTAACTACTTTTTTTCTTTGGGCGGGTAGTATCAGGACGCAATGTTAACTCCGCACTGACAAAGAACAAGAG